ATCAAAGTTTTAACTATTGTGGTGGCACAAAAACAATGCAACATATGCAGAATGTGAACATGTAAGTATTTAAACATGAGAATTATTTTACCTGTACTGTAGCTTACTATATTGAGCTTAATTTATAATGATACACAATTTTATGAAGTTATCATTTTGAATTTACTGGAGGTCTTGATGTGAATAGAATTTTGAACTCGCTGGCACTACTAATGAAGATGGCCCATAGCCAGAGTAACCTGGCAAAGTCCACAGTGCTGTCAGTGTGATGCTTGTTTCTTGAGCTACCTGATAATTTCTCTTTAATGAGAAAGCATTTGCACAGAACACTCTTCCTGGGTGTTAAATTCAAAGCAGTCTCATCTGACCGTCATTAAACAGGGATGTTGTACCTAATACAAATTTTGGACAATTAATGGAGACTTTTAACACAAAGGGACACTACAAGTTTTGGAGATCCTGTTTACTGACAGTCTGAGTGGGTTTGAAATATAAGAATCCTTACTGAATTGAACAGTGAGGGAAATTCATTAAACAACAATGTCTACATTGATATTTTGTCAATATACATTGATAAATAAGTCATCAATAAATCAATCTTAAAATAAACAAAGACTATGCCTCAGGTTCGTCTAGGTGAGTATGAGGGGCAGGAAGAAGTACCATTCAATACCTGAAACAACTGCTACCTTTGTATCTCCTTCCAGGATAATATTGTGGTCGTTTTAGCCTAACTATTTCCATTTTCTGTTATTGCCTATTTTACAGATAAAAGTATAGGCTCTCTATGAATCTCCTAGAAGACACATAAACAAAACATCTTTACCAAAGAGTAGGCAATGGACAACAGCAACAGTAAATTTGCCACAATCAAGCAACATCTCCTATTCATAAATGTGCTAATTCTGTCATGTAAGCAGAATTGGAAGAGAAAGGAAGAATCTTGAACTATATGGTGCAAGCTGAAACTGGCCAAAATGTAATTTCCCAGTGGATGTTGACAACAAGCAGTATTTTAGAGAAGCAGAGATCAACCAGATTAGACCACCGTGAAAAAGATAAGACAGTATTTTGGCTAGATATGACTAGCAATCTGGAATTATAATTCAGCTGCCACTAGCACATCTCCTGGTTTGTAGGGTCTGCATAGAGATCAAGGTATAAACACATAAATTATGTTGGAGAGTCTGCCTTTAAAACACAGCTTTTACCTTTTGTTCCAAGATCGGGTTTTGAGAACTTTCTAGGAGTAACATATGGAGTCCACATAGGAAATCAAATATCTCAGTTTTAAGACAGACTCTTTGTCTTCTCAGGAATAACTCAGGTGAGCATTATGACAATCTCAACTCATTAAAAGCTGTGTTTATTTCATAGTTGCTTGCTAAACCAGAAACGACATCAGTGTTTAGTCCCTTAGCTCTCAACGGGCAGTCTTGTGATGAAGGAGAAACTTCCATAACTGTCAGTGGTAAGAAGGGAAGTTAGTATCTGGGTTTTAATTACTGGAGTGTGATTGTGGATAAAGATGGTAGCCATAGTTGATTACACTTAATTGATTTGCTCTTACAATCTTAAAGAGTAGTGAATTAAAGATAAAGAATTGAAGAGTCCCTTCGGGTGAAAAGTCCTATCAGCTTAGACTGGAAAGGTCTACAGCAGAAAAATAAAAAAAGGTAAAATTAGTCTTTGGAGATTTTCTATTATGCAAAAAGAAACACAAAAACAATTCTTATCAACAGTACTTGTATTAGTAATCCATTCCTTTGAGAGGCTAGCTGGACTAGTAAGTAAAGAGAGGAAACAATAGTGAACTTGCAGCATCCTTATTTGACAGTCAATTAAGAAAAAGTTGTATGTGAAAAAACTCAAAGATGAAAATTTCCTAAATGAGAAGGTGGATGCTAACACTGCCCTTGGCTTGCACAGTAGCCAAAATTTGGGAAGAAACCGATCAAATACAGACAAAACCCCAGAAAGTAGGTGCAACAGTGATACTCAGTATGAACTTTAGCATAACTGGGGAACTGGTAGATTCATTTCAGTTTTCTGACTCCCCAAAGCAACCACAGCATAATCATGAACAGACAAAATATTTGGATGATCACAAATATGAAAAATGAGAAATGTGGTGCAGCCACTTAGACATACTCCAAGAATATTACACGATGAAAAGGCAAAATGACAGTATTTGGACAAGATCACCACATTTTTGTTATGTTTGCAATTCACAAAATATCAGATACAAATAATGTGTGTGGGATGTGATACAAAATTTTGAACATTTGTTCCTGGGTCTGTTAGCTGTTTGTGTATTATTACATAATCAGTGACCCACACATGTGGCATGCTAAGTATTTTACTATCTAGTATACTAATTCTAAAGTTCCATCAAAAGCAAGGACTTTTATAGAAAATACTTGTCTGTTAGATAAGAAAATTACTAATACAATATACCAGTAACAACTCTTCAAAACTTAAACTCAATTCATCCCATCGCCTATTATGCGTGCATTTTGTTAACACAGAGAAGGGCAGGCAATCTTCTTCCCTTATGTAAAGCCCCTGATAATACTCTCTCTTCTCTGCAGTAGGAATGTTATGATACACAGTATGGGAATAGTGATACAACACACCAGAGGGAGCACATGTTTACCTCATCCCCAACTCCTGGATGGGTTCCTTTTTCTGGAAAATTTTCATAGAACATGAAGATGGATCCCTTTGTACACAGAATTTTTCCCAAGCAAATTCTCTGTTCCTAATTCTCTACTTCTGCTGCCACAACCCAAACACACTGACAAACCCTGTAGCTCATGCTATGCTAACTTCTCCACATTTTCTCTAAGTCTCTGTTTGAATCTTCATTTTGTATAGAAGAGACCCTCAGGGACACTGCAAACTTTCTGTCTTCACACCAAGAGCCTATGCCTACCATTCCTTTGTATATTCCTTATATAAACACCACAAATATCATATATCTCATTTCAGCTTTTATTTGGATATTTTTAAGTTAAGTTGCTTAAGTCCATTTTTCATCAATACAGACACTAAAAATTGAGATCAACATTTAAGGCAACATTAGCATCCATGCCAAGCTCAATATGCAAACCTTATCATCTAAGCAGCACAGCATCCAAGAATTGTCACAGGTCCCCTACCTCCATCACACATTCCCTTTCCATTTTAATTCTGCTATCCCACACTACACTCAGTAATTCAATTTAGAGGCAACATTCTCAAGTAAGACCTTATCATTTTTTATATTTTATTTTTTCTTATGAACTAGATAATTTTTGCATAAGGTGATATAAATGAGTGAGATATGTTTCAGGGTGAAAGTATGCAGTTGATTTATATTGTGATACCATGTAGGATTTTTAAAAAAAAATATATTTAACATCATTATTCACTGACTTAGTATGAACGTTATATGTATTTAACCTTTTAGTAAGGCTATACATTGAGACTTGTTAGAATGATAATTTTGCTTTAAATTCTGATTTCTTTAGTCTAGTGTTACTGTTGACAAGTGTTTGAGTTAAGGATGCTCAAGTGCAACTTCTATGTAAGAATATTTACAAGTATACAAAAGAGCACATAGTTTTTAATATACCCACTATTCTTAATACAGAGTAAATAAGGATTTATCTTGTGCCCGTGGAAATATTTCAACATGTGGGTCTTCCTTTTTTCTCTTTTACAGTAAAAGGAAAGTTTTTACTTTTCCTTAAGTGTATTTATTACAAGATGGTTAGCATACATATATCACATAACATACAAGAGTTAAAATTAACTAGTTACAAAATAAGCAGTGGTATGTATATTTTCATATAACCTAAGAATAGGATCAGTATTTTACAAAGTACATATAAAAGTACTTCATATACAAAGAAAAATACAAATGTGCAAACACCATTGTCACAGGTGGAAATTTGTCAATTGAAAAATGCTAGAAAAATCCTTCATATTTTTGAAATTGCAAATGCATTAAAAACAGCTTCATTTCCTATTGTGTGTGGTGAGAAATTTATGTTCCTTTTGACAAAATACATTAGTTATAAAAAAACCACAAACAATTTAATAACTGAAAAATCTTATAAGTATAGTCAGTTTGGTTAGGCTGACATTAAATTACAAGCAGAACATCTGGAAAAATGAGAAAATAGTGAATCATATATACAAACCTTTTGAGATATTAGTGTGCTATTTAACATATTAACATTTCAAAATAAAAACAATGGCTTAATTACCTACATATTTTACTCAATGTCATCAATATTTGTAGACTGTAAAATTTCTAATAATTTGGGGCTGTTAAAAACGTTTCGCCAGGATTTTAAGCTGAACAAACACAATTTTATCAAATGTAAAAATCTATAAACAGTCTTCCAATTCATGTGCAAAAAATGTTTAAAAGTATCAAATCACAACACATCAAACCTGATTATGTACATATTCAATATCTGTAAATGTTGTTAACTAGCTAGTATTGTTCTGCTACAAATAACTTACCTCTGTCCTGCAAAATGTCTGCATTTTAAAGATTTCAGTGCAAGTGCTTGCTTCATTGTTTAGTGCATTATCATGTTTGTTATTTTTTATTTTACAGTGAGCAGAACAGCATATAAATTAACATACACAACTCACACATAAGAGATCTTTCTTCTACTGAATTCCTAGTTTGTTGTTTTCCGTTTCTCCTGGATAGTGTCGGCCAGTTTTCTTTCGTTTATCCCATTGTAATTGCAAACAGAATCTAAAATAAAAGTGCTATGATCTTCAGATAATCCCTAGAACTTGAAATTCCATAACAACATTGCAGAAGCACTAAGTAGAGCACAAGATTAGAGAACGACCTGCACACTGAGAAGACACTTGAAAGTCTGGTATTGGGCAATTGCACTTTTTGGTCTTTAAAAATACCAACTGTCTATAAACATTGGCAAGCTGATATATATGTTACTGGACTCACAAGCTTCATTTATTTATTTATTTTTAGGAATTGTAGACATGTTCCCTCTTATTCATGGCTAGCTTAGAAATAAGAACATTCTGTTTAAAAATATAAATAAAGTGAAAATACACTTCCTGTTGGAGGGAAAATTCCTACAATTTCTTTTGGACAGGTTTCCTAACAGAATAGCTCTGAAATGAGAAAATCAGGATTAGACGATAGTGCAAATACAGCCCACTTTTATAGCTAGGAATTGTACTGAAGTAAGTAGAAATTCAGGATAAATGGATTATTATTTTTCAAAGTCCTCCCTGCAGAAAAAAATAGCAGTTACAGTGGTTATAATTATTAAACAGAAAAGGAACTTTAGCATATTATGAACTTCTATGGCTGAAATGTAAGGAAGGCTGGTTGTCTGTCAGTAACATTTCAGAACTTAGCTTCTTACAGGAAGAGGTGCTTTAAATGTGTCTTTATTATGGAACGTTTTTCCTTTCTAAGCATCTGAAATGCAACTCTGGATCCTATCCATCCATTGTTGAGCACTCTGTGCATCTTGGGCACAAAAATTATATACACGTTTATTTGTCTTCAACTGCAAAGGAAAAATAAGAACATGAAGATAGACAAGTCAACACACAAAATAGAAAAAAAACCTTGCAAACTTTACTTTAAACTGTAATACTCAATGTACTAACTGGGTCTGAATGTAACATTTTTTGAACTTCTGCTGTTGAGAGTGAGGGCTACATGCTAGCTATGTAAAAACTTTTTGTCTCGAGTTGGCATGACAGCTCCTTCCTAGCTCACACCTTCCAGCAGGACTGAAAGTAGTAGGTTAAACACACCAAGAAAAGGAAGTTTCACATAAAGATCAAGTAAAGACCAGATATACTTACATCAAAAAATGCTTTTTCACTTGCATGTTTTGGGGCTCCAATTGTTGGAGAAGCAGGAATCACAGTTTCTACTTCTGCAAGGTCTATGTGTCCCTTACAGCTTGTATCCTCACCAGAATCATAGTATCGCAGCTAGACCACAAGATAAAAAAAAAAAAAAAAAAAAAAATCCAAATACGCCACTTAAATGGACCTTTCACTTCTTCTTCCCTTTTCCTGCATACAACTTGGGGGCATGGAGGGGTAAGGGTGGGAGGCACAAATATTACTAAGACCCAAGGACATCAGACATGGGAAATTTCTAAGACACAACTGACAGAAACCATAGGTTGCGTATATACAAAATGGTGGGTCTGGTGATAGCCCTTAACTGGCCAGTCCTCTATTTGACATCTCTGGGTAATAGCAAAGTCTCCACCATCCGCTCCTATGCAGACATGGAGTTGGGGGAGGAGCATTTTGTCACCAGAGTTTCAGAGCAGAGAAGCTTCAAATAGTCATGCATTGCTTCTGGGCAGAGGATGTGTGAAGGATGAAAACAGAACCCGGTCTTTAGGATTCAGCATTCCTTATCAGTTTTCCTAACAGAAACCACCTCTTCACTGTTCATTACATTGAAACTAACACAAAAGCTTTACTTCACCAAGGAGTTAACAGAACACTTATTCTCTATATTTCAAGAATTTAAAATGATCAGCAAAAATTTAAGTATAATTTTAGATAATTATAAACTACATAGAAAACTCACATTTTCCTATACTGCACTTAGTGGTTGAATGAAGCTTGCTTTTTTTTTCCCCTCTCTTTGCAAAGATACTTTGACATGATTGTTAACCACTCTGTAAACTGAGTTTCAATATGCAAACAAGTTCCAGAAGAGAAAATCTGATACTTGCTTTTTTTTAAAAAAAAAAAAAAAAAAAAAATTCCCATAAACCAATGCAAAATAGTAAAGCAAACCTTCATAGCAAAGGTCAAACAACAGAATTCCAACTAAGGTTGACCTGTATTACTCCTACATCTATGATACTCAGGAGGATATTTGGATACACAAAAAATGTTGAAGTATTTTTTTCTTCTGCAAAATGAACCTTTTCTCCTGTATATCAGGAAGAATAATTATAATCAGCACATTTGCTTGTATTTTACCACACTAATCTAGAACTCCTCCATTAGCATTTTAAAAGATGACTGTCTTTATCTATATTACATATTTTTAAAGTGTATTGATTACAATAAATTAATATTTTTAAACAAAAGCATACATGAGTCTCAGAGATAACAAGCCACACTGTGTGGAATAATTGGCTCAATGAAGATTACTGCCTGATGACCCAACATTATTTAAAGTAGATAAGACCACGAATTTCCACTGCAGAATTCCGGCATACACTGTAAATTGGGTAAAATGTTTAGACCAACAGATACCCTCTCTTTTTAGTGTTCCTTGCTGTACAATGATTTGTCAGAATATTTATGAATACTTTTGCTACTAAATTTCCATCACTATGACTAATCTAGTCAGGATTATATATATATAGGAGTATATATGGCACCTGAAATTATTGTTCAATCAGGAACTTCGCATTTCGGGGCTTTCAGAAATACAGATTTGAGATGGAATTTTAACTCATTTTAAGTCATTTACAAAATTCAAACTCATTTCAGAGCGATCTGTGATCCTGTTCTCCATATTTGAAAAGACTTTCATACAGAGATTCCAGGTCAGCTTTCTCAAATACAGATTTCAGAAAAACACTAAAAAGTCAAGTGAGGTAAATGGATTTTTCTGCTAAAGCAATTCAGATTATGATTATCCAGAGTCTATCATGCCCTTTCATTGGCAAAGAAAAATGCTCATGGCAAAGTGCTTGAGGAACAAAGAGGCTGTAAAATACACACTGCGCATACAGTAACTACTACAGTTTCAACATGAATGCCTGAATTAAACTTGCTATCAGTTACTGTATTAGCTCTCAGCATCCCAATTGCACTCTAGGAAATACTTTCTAAGTTTTTCACTCTCTAGTTCAGAAAGAGTTTTTAGTTCTTTTGGCAACTAAAGAGGTTATATCAAAGGGCAAATTACGCTCACCACTTAATTGCTTAATGACATTCTGGAGTTAGCAGTGCTTTAAAAAATTGCTTGTATACCACAATGCCCAGAAAATGTCCTCAGGCACTACCTGGTTTTTTCTTCCTGAGGTATGAAGCAGGCAAAAAATGTTTGGGCCCAAATAATAATGCATGACTTTGAGTCCAAGAAGTCTTTTATGATTATATGCTAAACAGTTATCACTGTTTTAAAAAACCCAAAATACTAAAAACCCTCTGTCCATTCAGAATGCTGTATCAGCTACAACATACACAAGATAAACACAGATATATGGTCTATAATGATGTAACAGACACATCGCATCTGAAAATAATCATTATTAGTATTATTTGTAAAATCAATCTATACAAACCCAGTAAATAAAAAAGCAGCAAACTAGTCATAAAAACACCATTATCTGAAAAGGTTTTACCTGGTGTTTTGTCACATCCAGCACAAACCAGCGAGGTTTCCAACCTTTTAGTAAAGCTCCTCTTTTGTATAGCGTACCTTCAAAAGATCTGAAAGGTACAGAAAATACAAACGGCACGTGATTCCATAATATGAATACTGGTGATATATAAAAGCCCTAAAATGACTACATACATATTCAAACACTTCTTTTACTGCAGTAAAACAGATCAGTTTTAAACCATTAGTTTAGTTACTGGTAACTGTGATACACTGATAAACACTGTTTCGGTACTCTGGATGCATTAAATGTGCAGCTACAATCTGCTTGTGCATATAAACAGGAAGATTGAAAGATACTGCTAGGCGATAGAGGCCCACCCATCAAGACAACTAAATGTAACCAAAACCACAAAGAAGGAATAAAGTAGTCACAAAGCATTCTATGCATATGAAAATTTCTTTTTTTTTTTCCTAAGGCAGAGACTTGTACCAATCTAATACAAGGTTCATACATACTCTATGATTATTCAGTTTACCTATTTTCGTCGTTCTTTGATGTGAAATGATTGTATAGTGTAGTTGTTCTTCTATCTACTCCATTAGAGGGAGAGATGCTTGCACTCTGTTCCTCACCCAGCCCACTGTCAGGTATTTCCAACAAAGACCTCTTTTGATAAGAATGTATATTAGCTGACATCATCCCTGAGGAGCCAGTAGGATGTCTCTGGAGCTAAAAAAAGATGAAAATAAAAGAAAAAAGGTAATGAAATGTGTCTTGCATTGTGAGACAGTCTCAACATTATACTGATAATACGTGGTACAACACGTAAGTTGTGAATTATTATGAGGCCAAAAAAATCTTCATAATACAAGTCAGCGCTGCCTCAGAAAAGAAGTCGGGGAGATGGCAATGCAATGAATTTCTTAAGCAGGAGGGTTCACATGGTGTGAAAAATCAGTATTTCAGAGAAGCCTTGTATATTGCAGTTACATAATCTTGAACAATGTTTCCCTTGCTTTCTCAGAAGCATCTATAACTAGTCAGACATTTGGATACCACAAATTTCCTAATTTCATAGGGAAGGAAGGGAAGAGAAGGAAGGGAGGGAAGGAAAAAGAGTGCAGTTTCCAAGAGCTACTTTATAGATCCAAATCATTTTAGTTGAGTGTCAATAACCTGGAACAAGAGGGATCCCGAATTTAGTCTTAATCTAAATGAGAGCATCCTAGAGATAGAGTTCTTTGGGGTTGACCCTTAGCTATTGCATTTATCTGAGAATCCTTAAATAACAGCTAGGACAGGAGACTGATATCAGGTATATTTATACTTGCAGTTTCTTTTCTGCTTCCAATTCAATTAAAAAATCCTCTGCTTTGCTAGGATAAAACTTTTTTCATCTTGAATTCGTCTAAGGTATAAAGTGAACTTGAATGACTCTGACAGACATAAAGCATACTGCTTTCCTGAGAACAAAGGACAAAAAACGAAGCAGTGCTGTGGACTAACCATTGCATGGAGGCTGGCAAATTTGAACAAGCACATGAAGCTGAAGAGTTAGGGTACAGTCTTGAGCTGGTAACTCACTGTGCCAAGTTTATAGGGAAAGCTCACAAAAAGCAGTATCTAACATTCTTCCTAGTGCACATAGATAGCAAAGAGGAAGCCTTTGACTTAGAAAATATCTATATTGTCAGCTATTCTTTTTACCGCAGTCAAGAATCGGAAACACAAGCATGAACGCTTCCTACCTTTACTAGAATCTACAATTCCAAAATTCCATTTAAACATGGAAATATCTTTACTCATCTCTGAAGCTCTGTGATGTCCTTTCGGCTACTTTCAGCAACTGAGTTTTTTTGTACTTGAAGAATATTTTAACTATGTAAGTTATATATTTGTGTATTAGTAAAATGCTCATACTCATTTTGTCTGTATGCCTTAATCTACTCTGGAAAAGCAATTAGATAAATAGCACAAATATAAATATATTTTTCTACATGCAGAAATACAGAGCCAGTATCATGGGTTAGAACAACATACTCAATTTTTCACAAGCAGTATTTTACTCCAAGAAATACAGTGATTTTGTCAGTGCCCCAGGTAGCCTATATAGCAGAATTGGATGAGCTCTTTTACTACTTACATTGTCTTGTCTGGTGTCATCCTTTAGATTCATTTTGACCCTTTCCCACAAAAGCTGCCACCTTTCTGGGCTCTGATTTAATTTACTTTCCAACCTTTCGATTTCCTGAAACAAACAACAAGGGTTTTCTTAAGGATAAACATTTCTAACTGATCACTTTGTGGCAATCATTTTTATACAACCATTTTCTAGTCAATATTTTTATACAGGGAACTTTTAGGCCATGTTGCCCAGTAAAGTACAAAAACCTCTGTCAAACCAGCTATAAACTGACTCAGGAGTCAAAGGCAACAGCATCAGCCACATCCTTCTTCTTGCATGTCACAGGCTGGAGGAGCCACTGCCTTTTCAATTCTCTGCCAGTTCTCCTGAACACACAAAATTCAACACCAATTGCCATAGAAGAAACATGACAATGATAAGGATAGGCTTTTTTTATAAAAATATTTACAAAGAACAAATTCTGTGCTGTGACACCAACATTGTACATTGCCAATATTAACATTTACCCTGGTTTATAAAATGTGATACAAAGCCGTAATAAAAGAAGGAAACGAAACAGAAAGATTTATTCAATTTGGATGCCAAACTGTAACAACATGTTCTTGTTGTGGAACTTGGGAATATGACCTATGTCGATAACCTCCAGTTAGGGTTATTTCCTGTTAATAAGACAGTGCATGCAAAGTTAAGTAAAAAGAGGCAATTTCATTAGTTTATGTTTACTTGTGAACACTCATTGATATATTTGTCATTATTTTGATGTGTGGTCCATATTCTTTGCCATGCTTCCTTTCTATATTTTTACTTTCAACAATTATATTGTTATGAAAATCTAATTCTTAATGAAATAAAATTAAAAACTCAATTTTGCAAATCTAATTAAAAATTGATGATGGAACAAAAAATTGCCATTGGACAGAGAATTCCCATCTATAAAAAGCCAACTAAAACCCAAGACATTTATTTTCAAAGTAGACACAGTAAGTCTCTGACTTTACTTACGTCTACTATACCAAATGATTAGAGTAGATTTCATAATATTCTCCAACTCCTATTGGTCTTTTAGAATGACAATTTCTTCAGGAAATTGTTATTGAAAGACTTACAGAAAATTACTATATTTTTAAGGTGAGAAAACATTTTGAACCAGGAAATTAACTCCTGAACTAACTTTTGAACTCTGAAGTGAAAATAAAAAAGCCAGTATTTGACAGTGTAATAGGAACAAAATATTTCTACAAACTCTTCCTTGCTGAAAGTAAATTAGAAAACTCAAAAGTAAAACTAAATACAAGAAATCCAGCTTAAAAGCAAGAATCAAACCAGAAGTTTTAAATACTGAAGGCTGTTGAAAGCCACATATACATTAAATATTATGGGACTCTCCTCCTCCTGCCAAGAAATAAAACCAGGATAGTTTTGTCTGGAGTATCTTCATAGGTAGATACAAAAATAAGGAATGGTGAACACAAGCCAGACTAAAGGCTTCTCTAGATCACTTGTTCCTCTTTCAAAGTGCTGAGTATAAAACTTCCTGATGGGATACATATGACTGAATCAATTTACCACAGACTTATTATATAAAAGGCTTTCCAAATTGCTGCAAAAGGATACAAGCTCTTTAGTGCAAAAAGTTAGTCAGATTTTAATCTGATCAATCTCTTTCTGCCCTAGTCTTGACTTCTGAGTACGAGTCTTTCTCTGCAGAATCTGGAAGTAACTGAAACTTGTTACTTAGCAACTGGGTCACATTCCTTCTTTTTTGGCTCCATAATGAGTAGTGCTTCCAGAACTTAAAATGAAAAATTTTCAACAATCTCCTATATATAACTTGAAAAGTTAGGAATAAATTCTCCTTTAATAAACCCCATGTAAAAAACTTACGTGGCAATAAATCACTAAGATTTACTCTTGCCCCTTCAATTTTGAATTTTACTGAAAACGTCACGTTTTTTTTCCTTCCATGTGTGGAATGGACTATGAATAGCTGCATTTCATTGAAAGAAAAATTCCTTAAATTTATCTTTCTGTTTCATCTCCTGTTGCCTAGACTTACAGGAACAGAAGTCAATACATATAAAAAGAAAGGTTATCACAAATACAATTGTATTAACATACGTTTCCTGAAATTAGTAATTACAAGCAATCAGCACTTCTGTGCCTTTCAAAAGATGTATCTGCTAAGTAATCTGCTTTGTAATATTTGAATGGTACAGACAGGAGATAACTCTGCAGACACTCCAAAATTGTAGAGACTGATCACTTCCTTTGTATCCACAATGTGTTTGTGCACACACAGAACAATGTGGACAAAGTCCTACACTAGTGAACTGTCTTGACTGTGACAGAGCACCCTGTTTTGAAAGTTCTTCCTTGTCAGTATTTCCTCTTCAACTCCTGGGCTAGAAGACTTCTGAGACTTTGACTACAAATGGAAAAATGCTGAATGTGTATCCAGTGATTGAATTGCTGGCTCTGTCAAGTGTTCAGACTTGTGTGTGCAACAAGTTGTACACAACTAGTTGTTCAATATTTGGAATAAACTTTTTGGTTCAGGGTCCACTTTGACAGATCAGTCTTTTTGGCACATGACTAAAAGTTATAAACCAGCTCACAATCAGAAGTGCTATTTTTATTGTTTTGCTGGTTATTCATCGACCCCTTACATAGCTTTAGTTCTTTACGGCAGAGTTAATTTGGGTGACTGGCATCCTGAAGTGGCATCTTTGCATTTGCCAACCTCTCTCTGAGCAATCACCATCTAACGTTAAGTGATGTAATTGCTTATTTGTAAGAATAGAACACGTAGGTTCATCTCTCACAACTCTTAAAAGTACCAGAATCTGAGCCACTCCCAATGAATTATGGGGACTGAATACCTTTTTAGGAACGTTAGCAAATTAGTGGGAAACAATGGAGATGTGTCTGCCCTCAAGGATTTGACTTGCATTTTCTCTGAAATATTGGTAGATTACTACCTCTGATACAACCAGCAACCAGGCATATATCAGAATGGTTGAGGTTGGAAGTGACCTCTGGAGGTCATCTGGTCCAACCCCCCTGCTGAAGCACGGCCACCTTGAGCCAATTGCCCAGGACTGTGTCCAGGTGGCTTTTGAGTATCTCCAAGGATAGAGACTCCACAACCTCTCTTGGCAACCTGTGCCAGTGCTCAGTCACCCTCACAGTGAAAAAATGTTTCCTGATGCTCAGAGGGAACCTCCTGTGTTTCAGTTTGTGCCCATTGCCTCTGGTCCTGTCACTGGGCACCACTGAAAAGAGCCTGGCTCTGTCCTCTTTGCACCCTCTCTTCAGGTATTTATATACATTGGTAAGATTCCCCCCTGAGCCTTCTCTTCTGCAGGCTAAACAGTCCCAACTCTCTCAGCCTTTCCTCATATGAGAGATGCTTCAGTCCCTTAATCATCTTTGTGGCCATTTGCTGGACTCTCTCCAGTAGCCCCATCTCTCTCTTGTACCGGGGAGCCCAGAACTGGGCATAGTACTCCAGGTTTGGCCTTAACAGGGCTGAATAGAGGGAAAGGATCACCTCACTCAAACTGCAAGCAACACTTCTAATCCAACCCAGGATACCACTAGCTGTCATTGATGCAAGGGCACTTTGTTGGATCACGGTCAGCTTGCTGTTCCCTAGGACCCCCAAGGCCCTTTCTGCAAAGCTGTTTTCCAGCTGGGCACCCCCAGCATACTTTGGTGCATAGAGTTGCTCCTCCCCAGGTGCAAACTTTGCACTTCCCTTTGTTAACGTCACTCAGATAAGTTAGCTCATTCATAATGTATCACAACATACTCATGTCAAAGGACCATTTGAAGAGCTAGTCTTTATGGGAACCATTTAACCCAGAACTTTAGCCTGAAGACATGGCTCTTGGATGTGCTACACTGTGGTATAACCTTACTGAATTTTACAAGCAAGGAAAGCAAGTGCTTACAAAAAAAAAGCAGAAGGAACCTCAAAGTTCCTGCCAAATGAGTTGTTTTTGAGTTTTGTGGAGAAAACTACCTTTTTAAAATGGAGAAATTCTTTCAAAGCTAATTGGAACTAATCTCTGAAAGAGAAAATAGAGGCATAGGTGTGCTGTTTCACAATTACCTTTCATTTTCTTTAAAAAGTGGATGGGTAGCTACTCTTACTATTGGTACCTTGTTTCTGATTTCTATCATGCAGAAAAGCCATCAGAAAATGGTCTTAAAGGGAAGCACCTCTGTTTGGATCTACTTTTGAACATTTATGTCTCCAAAGTACACTTTTGAGAATTTAAGATTTGAACAACCTAGCTCATATTTGTTGGCTGCCTCTGATGTGGTAGAAGTGAATTGAGAAGCTTTATACAGAAATCTGTTTTTTAAAATGCATTTTATTATCTGCAATCTTTAAAAGGTTTCATTTAGGACTAAATTTATTAAATGTGCAGATTGGTTAACTTTCTAAAACTCATAAACATATGGATTTATGGAAACCATAGAGCCATCTGGTAAGAGGTGGATTGTTATGTACCCAAACCACATTACAACATTTACTGCTAAAAAATTACACCTTTTGCTCTTAATAGAAGAGCACCACATTCTACCAAGGAAAATTCTGAATTAAGACATGCAAGAACTTCTCTGTTTCAGCTTTATATCTGAAGAGCATTATCTAGTTTTCAATTGAAAAATATCTTTAGAACAAACAACTTTGGGCTTATCATTATAAACTAAGGGAGACTCAATCTTCCCTAATAATTTACCATTGCTAAATATGTCTCAGTTCAAACATTTTTTGGATACCAACACATTCTCAATGGATTTATGATTAAAGAGAGGTCTTTCTCCTACATCAGCAATAGCCTTAAATTAACAAGTTGTTTTAAAAGAAAGTTCACTTTGCTTTTTAAACTTAGAAGAATATTTTTGTAACCTTTATACAACCTCTTCAAAGTTTTCCAAATGTTCCTCTCCATTGCTATCTTTTATTACTATAATCTAATTCACAAATAACATTTAAACTCTGTAAAACCTGACCCACATATCTTTGGAATATAATATGGCTAATTTCCCTGTTATATGGCAGTTTCTCACAGTTGTGGATATGGATAGTTTGGCATCTACCCCAGGAAGAAATGCAGAACAACATTGTTGCTATATTCCTGATGTACTTCTGGCCTCTAGTTACCTGATACAAAAGCTCTCTGTTTTTTTGCTAAAGAATCCCTGATATGACCCCTGCTGAGAGACTGCTCTTTCTTTGCATTTGTGAAATTATAAGCTCTGAGAAGTTCTGGCTATCTTATTTTGAGTCAAGGGGAGTTTTACACGTGATTTTTTTTTTTTTTTTTTTTAAGTGGGCATTGTTCCTGTGTTTGATCAATTATGATTGGAAGGAATGGACCAAATGAAAATTGAGGAATGTGCCAGAATAAGGCTAACTCTCTAGCAAAAGCAAGTCTATCCTCAAGGACTGAAACCCATTCAGAAACTTCATGCCTTAAGATTTTGCTAAAAATCACCTTTGATTCAGACGTGACCCACAGCATATCCTAATTTTCCAAGCATTGCAATATTAGGCTCCATAATCTCAGCTTTAATATAAGGTAAAGTCTGCAAATAGTTTTCAAAAGAAAAAACTGTACATAGTGAGGTGTATCTGAATATGCACGTGGCTTGAAACAATAGCTCCAGGAAGTGAAAAATGCCCTTGTCATTTTCCTGCGCTATCAATTATGATTATAATCTAAATATTAGGACTGTTAATTAACTATAATCAAACAACAAACATTTAAGACAATATAGATGTTAAATCATTCTAAATAACTACAACAATTATCATGATAATAGGATCCTTTTTTTATCTTCTAATGAAAAAAAGACAAACCCTAAGCAGCCTACATGAGCCCAAACAAGAAGAAGCCAAAATCAAACATCTTTTTCAAGTACCAAAATATTCTGAAGAATCTAAGTTTACGAGTTTGGTCCTAGTAAACATGAATAAAGTAAGAGCAATCATGGAAAGCTTTTTTCAGAAATGTGGGCCAAGATGTTCAGTTTATGTTTGTGTATCTGCCTCCCACTTGTTAAAATCAACAAATGTAAGATTCTTTTTTCTGATCTGTCTGGAAATCTGTGTCTTTGTCATTTTACTGCACACCTACTTCAAACTTAGTAGAAAGAGGACAAGAAATCTAGATTCAACATTTGCCTAAATTAAAATAACAGTTCCTGCATTTCTTATAAAAGGCAACCTAAAAATTTTTTATGCTACCTACCTTATTATTTAAAAAACACAGTGAAAAAAATGAATGCATGACTGGCTTTCTCATAGTTATTAACTACTATTAAAGTGCACTCCCAGAAAACTGTTCATTCAGAACAAAGTAAGCTTTGCAGGAAGCCTGATTGATTCCCAGACCAACCATCACTTCTCAAGATCAACCAGTCGGTTTTACTAAATACCTGTTTTGAGATCTATCATGATCCTTTGAATAACAGTATATCTATATAGCAATAATTTAAATAAAAAGTAAATATGAATTTCATGAGCATAAGAGAACTTATTGTTCTGTGTAACACATGTACTTACATTTAAAAGGCTGCTGATGGCATCAGGTTGTATTTTTTTAACATCATCATAACATGGCCATACTATTTTCCTTTTAGTCTGAGAGAGTGAACCATCTGTTTGGTCAGTTTCCTCTGAAACACTGCATTTTGCAGTTACCATGGTCCAATCATAGGAAGGACCTGTAGCCAAAATCTCTTCTACATAATAATCCCACTTTTTGAGGCTGGACATATTTACATTTGGTTTCAGTGCCTATTTGAAACAAAGTTTTGTTATAATGACAGAAAGGAAGTCTTCGAGTTTCAGACTTACAATACAATACAATACTTGTATTTTCTAGATTATTCTAAATTGAACAGTATATTGCACTGGGTGAGTAGTGCTGCAGTTGCATAATTTCCACAGCAAGATCTTGGCTCAGTCAGATCAAAACTTAAAACTTATACTAGCTTTGGGAAGATACTACTCATTTTTATCCTTCTACTAAACCAGGTGCCTATCAAGAACTCTAATTCAGCATATGCAGTTGGTACCCTCACAATCTTTGTGCCTCCTGTTAAAGATAGAAAAGGCACTCGATAGCAATCACCCTTCAATTTTTCTCAGCAGAAAATCCAAGACACTCTACCATCAGAGAAAGGAGACAGGCTGTATAACATAAGTGGACATGCCATTTGGAAAAACCACAGTAATATGAGGAAGGCAGCCAGGGGCTGTAGGTCTTTCAGAGTAGTTTAAAACAGATCACTTTGTATTAAAACTGTTGGGTTTTTTTTTCTTTTAAAAAATAAGGTAAGACTTTCAGTTTGCATGCACCTTACTTGAAGGGAATTACTGCCTCAGGTGAACAGGCAATTATAAAGTCTGAAGAGTGATGCTCGGTCATAATGACTAATTCTGCTATTACGACTAATTCTGCTACTATGACACCATTTCATGTGAGGAAAAATAGTTTCTTTTAAAAAAGAGAAAGAAAACACTATCAAAGTATCAAAAGCTACTCCTGATTGCTTACTAATCAGACTACTGCTTACAGAAAAATGGATAAAAGAGTGAACAAGCAGCCCATAAAGCTCCAAATTCATCACAGTGATCCTTCTACAGAGAAAACAGACGTTTCTCTAAAACAGACAGCTGAAGCACTTTCTATCCACTGAACGTCACCCTCTTGTTTTCTCCCTCCCTCCTCTTGCACCACCACTTTATTAGGCAAGTATAAGTATGTGTGCGTGTGTGTGGCTTAAAGGGGGCTGCACTGTTGACTGCAATGCAGACTCAAAATACCTAAAGAAAGTAATTTTTTCTTTTTTTTTAAATGAGGTCAGTTTATATAGCAGATCTGAGTGCAATGTGCTATGTATGCTAAGATACAATGTGGTGAAACAACTTGAGGAAAAAGGAAAACCAAGAAACACCAACAAAAATAACAGTGGCGCCATGCCCTCCGAGACAGTGGAGACTGTCCCGTCATTATGTTTTCTGGTCACCAGCAGTGGACAGACATGCAAACAAATGATTTATCAGGGTGAAGCTCACTGCCAAAGCAGGAGAGAGCAGCATAGGAATGAACATCTCTGGCGCAGTAGATTGCAGGAACATCTTAAAACAGCCTTGTCTCCAGAACTACAGTAAGAACAGCACCCTTTTCTTGCAGTTCCTGAGAGATCTTGACTGCTTCTTCCCCGGCTATTACAGAATTCTATAATGGTGAGTGTATTGTGAATTTTATATAATTATTCAAGACAGAGTCCAGTCTAGTGGACACACATTATCATATAAGACAGCAATATACATAATGGATTCAATCAGATCATTATGAAATGTATCCCATTCTGACTCTAAACTCATTTCTCCATAACTGTGGTTTGCAGTATGTAATGTTTTTTTTTAAAACAATCTGTGCAAACTTTAAGATCATTTTTATAATCATTCATATAATTAAATGGAATCAAACAAACATCCTCATTTACCTCAGCGGGATGCATAAACACATGTTCCAGAATTTGGCCTTTTAAATATCATTTCCATAACTAAGATGACTGAGAATATTAGCCTGTGAGACACCACTCCAATCAATCAAGGTGGGTCAACTTTGTCCACCAAATGCTTAATTCAGTTGAGAACAATTAAGATATCAAAATGTACTCAAGGACTCAGAATAACAAACCACCTATTTTTTTTTAAAATTATACCTCTATTTCAGCAGGGGCATAAAGGTAATTGAAGAAAATAGGGCTCCTTCTGTGCATCTTTTCAATACATTCCCAAATACAAATTCCTTTTTTGGCATGTTTATCTCCTTTATCTTCAAACAATGTCCCTAGGGAAAATAATAGCAGCAAGAAGATAGCTTTATGATAATACATAGTAAACACTGAAGCACAGCCAAAAGGAATTTCACAGACTAAATGTATAGTAAAAGGTACTATCAAATGCCATTGCAACAAGAGATTGTATTTGATGAAACAACTGCTGTGCTTCGCAACTGCCACTCTGCCACAAATTGGCAGAGTATCAATTTTGTATGAAAAGATATTCAGTAGCATTATATTTATAAACCTGTTCTGAAATTTACTGAAATACTTGAGTGTATTTATGAATGTGCCTTTCCGTCTGCAGCTATGCTGACTCAGCAGATCACTAAGCCGTGCTAACTGATTCTGTCCCCCACTGCCCCCAAGGTTACCAGCCCTTCCAATCTGCTGGACCAGCTACACCTGAAATTACTTGCTAACTCATTTCAGGGAAAACAAATCAGGATAATGTAAATAAGTTAACCATAGATTTGTGATATCTGAAATGACTTTGGAAGGACATATAGTTTATCCAAAGACTACCGGAAACAGGATTTTATATTGAATGAAATTGTATTTGAAAGCAAACTACCCTAAATAAACAAACACACACCCCTCCACCCCCAACTGTAAAACCATGTAACAATCCAGGTTGGAAGGAACCACAGGAGGTCATTGACTCCAACTCCTTGCTTTTGTTCAAATTAAGGTAAATAATGGAAATTAACTTTTTTTGTTGAAATAAAACGGTTGCTCAAGTTTAGTCTGTTCCACAGTTACTACAGCTTTGAAGAGAAGCATTAAAATTGACCACATGCCATGAGAAACACCCCACGAAGCAGTGAAATTCAGAGCACTTAAGTGTTTTGCTTAGCAAACAAGTTCCAAGAAGGGCCTCAACTGTGGTTGTAAAGTCTTATTAAGAGGGCTCTGAAGGTAGTAAGGCCTTGGAACCAGTAAGGTTGCACACGATAGAGTAAAAAAGAAATATAAAAGAAGAGAAACACTGAAGAGAATGCAAGAGAAAGAAGTGAAAGAGAATAGATGGAAAGGCTTTCCTTTCCTGAAACCTCATGCACTCTCTGAAGGATTCCCAAGGACTTTGTTTCTGTTAAAATAAGGTATCGAGTAGGGGAAACTGAACCATGTGGACAAATTGCTAAAAAACCCTGAGGCATGGCACTAATTTCTTCCACTTTCTCCTAGTCTCATCAGTGGCATGGCTCAGGAATTATTCATTCAGAAAATTCTACATGTTCTTCACCTCCATCTTCCTTTATACTCCTGAAAAGGAATTCATTACATCATCACCATGCAATTACTGGATCATCCCAAACTATGCAAATTTTTGTAGACCAAATATCGACGAGAAAAATACCGACAACTACAAAACCAATATGCAATAAACAAACATCACACATACCATGTTCTAGTCTTTCGTAGTCTGAATCCAGAAGAAATGTTTTAAATCGATTTGATATGTGATGAAAAGCCAGAAACTTCAGATAATATTGATTGAACTCAAACTCTGTTGGGTATTGGTTATGAATCTAAAGAAAAAAACAAAAGAAGGGAAAAAAACGATATTGAGGTATAATACAAATAGGTAGGTAATAAATAATAATGTGAAATATAACAGCAAAATAATTCCCCTGTGAATGCTGACAACAAATACATCCATAGGCAACTGTCTTCTCTATACACACAAATCATTCTACATTTTGTCTAAAAATATTTTAAAGCTAATTAAATTAATGTATTGTCTATGCTGCAAAAATGTTTCAGACCAGAGAGGGTATACTATATAATAAGCAGTATTATACTTTGTACAAAACCCAGTATTCTTCAAAGTAATCAAACTGGATATAAATCTTTTATGATAACTCATGAGACACCACGGAACTTCATAGGCAAAGATGCTACTCCTGGACGTAGCTGGAAATCAAACTTTAATTGGAAGGTTTTACAGCGGACTTCTTACTATTGCTCAGAACCCAATGTAGCCGACATGTACAGAGGTAACACTGCAAATGATATTCCATCTACCATTACCGAAACAGATAATTTCTGAAGTACTTGCTAGTCTACACATATTTCTTCTTTTTCAAAATATGCATCAAAATATTATAGTATGAAAAAAAATGAAAAACATACTGAGGAGGTGTCTTGCCGTTATTCTTTTAAAACAGTAAAAACAATGTAACATCTTAAATTGTTATCCTCAGTTAGACTTGGGGTCTATCTAATTCTGCAACGTGAGTCAGGAGGAGATATTTAAGACGACAATACAAGATTATCAGAGTACTGCAATGTGGGATAGTTGGCTCTTCACAATTGCTTCTTCTTGAATGTTACCATAAAGAACCTGGCGTAAGATTTTAAGCATGAAGTTTAATATTCATGGCAAAATTTTTTAGCATTAGTGATGATATTTATACTTGATTTCCATATAAAATTCAAAATTCTAAAGTTAATCTTGATGAGATATTGTTCACAGAAATTTCATGTGTTAATTTCAAATTTAAAATGTAATCTTCAAATAAGTTTATGAGTTGTTATCTTTATTTTCAGAATTAAGCATGGTAATTAACTGAAAATTCCCAATTACAATGGAAATAAGTACAGTTTGCAATCAAAAAAGAAACTGTTGATTGAATTTCACATTTGAAATATGTTCCACTGTGCTTTGTCTAGCTTCACATCAAACTTGTAAAATACCTTTAGTTCTGCAATCTTCCCGTGTCTTGTCTTTTGCATTCCCACCACTCTCATTTTGCCATTCCATCTTTTCTCTCTAATCTCTACTTACCAGTTCCTCAGGAGAGAAACGGGTTTTTTTTAGTACTTATGGAAACTAGTATTAGACTACTTGAAGCTCCCTGATGTTTAGATTTTCACATGTGCCAGTTGAAAAAAAAACCAATCAGCTAAACAAAGAAAACAAATACGCGTTTAGCAAGGAAAGGTTATCTACCGAAAGTACAACAATGATGGGAAAATCCCTTGAAAGGGCCTATAAACACATACACAACATTTCAGTCCGAGAATTTGTTGTTATATCTCAATATTAGCTTATGGCTTGGCATTTAAAATGCTAAGATACTTTAAGATATCTCAGTTCAATACACCCACACTTACTTTATCCCGACTTCTCCCCTGATACAAATAACTACATTCCTGCACTGTTTTGTAAGAATACAGCTAAGTAAAATTTTTTCTATAATAAATCCAAGAGTTCAATTTCATAGACAAAGTAACTTTTTAGTTCTCCTTATAAAAAAGAAAGTATTTTTTCTGGGATATATTAGATTAAAATATAATCAGAGTACACTAATTCTGTTCAAAAATGACATCATGTACTTTTGAGCTGAAATCCAAAAAGCTCTGCATATGTGTGTGCGTTTAGACACATATACACACATATACAAGTAGTTTAGTACTCATTTTCCACCTTGTGTTAGGAAAAGTTTTCTTTAAAATATTGTAAGACGGAAAGGCTACATTATGCTATTTGACATGACTTATACAGGGTCCTAATTTCTACTTATGGTCCAATAATTATTTTAATACATTTGAAGAGTTACAAGAATAAGCTGCTACTAAAATCCTGTCATGGATCTAGGCATTGTGAGTGATCCCATTTCTGACATTTCTGGAACTACAAGTAACTGTAAGTTATAATAATATAATTTACTTTTTAAGTGAAAACAACTATAATCTAAAACATTTCTTTGATAAAGGTGAATATTGTAGTTATTGTTATTGTCTGTGTTTTAATGGCTGTGGCTGATTTCAGCACAGGAGATTGGAAGATGCCACAGCTAGGTGAAGTGACTACTGTTATTGATGATTTGTTTAGCTGCAGTGCAGTCTGCAAAATTTAAAACATGGCTGAGCTCCTGATAAAATATAGCTCCAACATCAGAAATGATAAATTAGAAATTTAACATAGGAGAAAATACTTGTATTCATTTAAGCAATTAAAAATAAACATAAAAGAGAGATTTTTATTACTGCAGGAAACATAACCACTTAGGTTGAGGTTAAATATAGCTGGTTTCTCTCTGATAATTCTTTGGTGCCATTTCAGTTAATTCATTGATTTTAAGGGATATACTCAAAATTTACATGTAAATTAGAAGCAATGTTTTATACTTTACAATTTCAACACATACCACCTAGAAAGACAAGTCTACAGGGACAGGGTATCTTTGAAAATTACAACTGCATGATCTTTTAAAATGCTTGATCTCCATAATATATTAACATTTAAAATCTGAGTAAACTGATAGATGTTTCTAATATTATGATTAGAGAAACTTGGTATTTTAGAATTCTCTTTCAAATCACCATGTTCCCAATTAACTTAAATATCTCTCATATTTCTATCAGCCTTCCTTAGTTTTCCAGTACTTTATCAACTGTCCTTAGCTTTCCAATACATTTTGGTTTGTAATCCCATTATATATCAATATTTACTTAGTTTGAATAAGAAATATAGTACTCCAAAATGTCCTGTGCTATTAATCTCTAAGAGGCTACTCCTGCAAACACTGGAATAACTGAATACATCTATCATAGGAGTAGCACGCACACCTCCTCTTACATAGAGTGCTGTAACAGAGCTCCTTACTGAGCTTAAAGAAGTCACTTCTATAAAATAATTCCATTTTAATTATATTTAATAAATTACCAAATAGATACAGAAGAAAAATAAGAAAAGCTTCCTGCACTGACATCACTTTCACAAATTCAGTCTTCTTAGAAGCAGAGAGAGTATCTGCCAGATGCTGCTATTGTGAAAGAATGATTTTGCATTAATAATTCAGCTGACACCTGGAGATACTGGCATAAACAATGACTTTTTACAAGATGATGCAGTTCTAATTTAGGAATCACTGCTTCATTTGTTTTCTCTGTATCTTTAGTTTAACCTATGACATTTAATGCACATACTGGCTTTATGGTGACTTTCTTACCGCACCTAGTATGTTGAGACTATAGTGGTTAAAAATATTTTGAAAGGACCAAATGTTTATTTCCGGTGAATGGGCAATTTTTAAAAACTGATCATAATATATTACACTTCAGGGACAAGTTGCAATCTAATTGGATTCTGTAGTTGTCTAACAAGTTGCACAGAAACCAATGAAACTTAACAGAAATGTTCAAGTACAAATGTTGAGTAAATTTATTTTTCATAGTAAATTCCTATGAAACTTCAACCATTAATTTGACTTCTAAAGTAATTTCCCTAGAGTTTACAACCGTACTGTTAGAATTTGGTAAGTCAATACTACGCCATCATGAGTTAGAAGACTAATCTTCGTAAGTCTATTTCTAGAAAACTTATGCAGAGTTGCATTCTAAATAGGATTGCAAGTCATTTAGCTTAAAAATTTTTTCTAATAACAGACAAGTCTATATTATCTATATTACACTGACTATGCAGTAAAGCTGTGTTCCCATGTCCTTTCTTGGATGAAGATAACACTGGCTGAAAAGACTATAATCCTTAGCCCTATCTTTCCTCATGAGAAATTACTGCCTCCTTCAGATTGACCAAAACTTCTAATTCCACACCCGTCAAAATAAGATGGTCTTTTCTACAATTTTTTTCTACCATTTTAATTGGAAAAGGCAGGCAGGTTCAAACGAATCCCTTAGCTAACAGACTGGAAGGGTGGTATCACCAGAGGAGAAGTGATTAATAGCTCCACATGGCCTGCAAGAGGTAATCTTTCTGCTGATACAGCTGCAGCCAGGGCATGTGGACACAGCTTAAGACCGAAAACCAGAAAACACAGATCTTTCTGTAAAATGTATCTGTTAATAACTTGTATACTTCATATTGCCTCTTAAAGATAGAGAAGAGTCAGATACCTAGTGACATGCTGCTATCTGAGATGAATTACAAAGGAAACGTTCTTCTATTTCCTTGACACATTCACATGTATTAGTAGCAATATTTCAGGCACCTTGCAGCTTAAGGCAAAATCATACCTGACAGTTGTTAGCAGGGATTTATCCCACTTTATAATTCATCCTAACTTTTAAAGCCAGGATGATTGTAATCCATTATTCCATGTTCTTTGAACTACAGATTGTGTTAAACATAACTTAAAGAAAACCCAAGAATTTTGCCATGAAGAAAACATGATACATTCTATTTTATGACAATAAACCAAAAACCTTGAATTTAATTTTTATCTTTGTTATGGATAACCCATTTGTTTCCAAAGTTTGTGTGACCTCTGGACTCCAGAAAAAAATACTGTACAGGTATGCATAGATAATTTCATTGCTTTTCTTTATGCCAACTTTCTAAGATTTATTACAGTAAAACTGGAGCAAACTGTTTCCAGGGTCAGAAACAGGACGTAGGCTACATCTACATTACCAAGTAATTCAGAGCAAAAGGAGAACACAAACAGACTGAAGCAGCTGGTGCTGAGGTCCCTGCAGCTATACTACACGTTTGTTGGTTTACTTTGGACTAGATTTAGTCCAGTTGAGTTTATGACCCCACTGCACATTGATGACCCCCATGGTTTTAAGCTAAGTGATCAATCATTGGTTCAGATCCTTTTAAGAGCTGGTGTTTACTACATACCTGAAGCAGAACTACTGGGTTAAATTCTTCCAAGAAAAATCTAGTACACATGCACCAAAACAGCATCAACAAATAGTAAGGGGAGATGCTGGAGGGATTCGCTTCAAAATTAGACTACTGCTTGAAATAAAATGTAGGTTTATTCCATTCTACTAATTGATGGTGTTAGCCAGTGAGCTCATTAAAGCTTGGAGAAGACATATGACAGCAGAGAGAATACAGCACCAGACAAATGATTTACACACAGAATTGAACAAACCACCAAGAGGATGGGTTTCAGTATTGGAAGACATGACTATTCTGTCCTGTTGTAGCCACTGCAACCAATAATTTGGTTTTTCTACTTCAGAAAAGGAGCAATAATCTTAAGCTATTGTAAGGAATAGTTAGTGTGACAATTGGGCAGATTAACTTGTTTGAATGACAAATACAGTACTGATTCTCTTTAAGAGAAATCTCCCCATTTCAAATAAAAATAAACCTGAGGACCACAGCCATTGGGAAATAGATTGATGAAACAGGAGATGTGACAAATACTTCTAAGGTTTACTAATGGGGAATGCTGTAGGAATCGAACCAAATTCCAAGTATATGATTTATTAACATGCAAGACAGCAAAAATGATGGCTGTTGGTGTGCAACATTGGGATACAAACAAAATTTTTCTTCTCTGCAACATGTTCTTCAGTAAGTCTTTACTCATCTTCTTATAAGCTCATTCATTATCAGTCTCCCATAGATATTTAAAGATTGTTTTTCAATGGTTTAGCAAGTTATTTAACCTGTGGACTTTGCTTCAGGTAGCAGAGTAAGTCTACTTGCTGACTTTTCTTTCAGGGTCTACTTCACACAAGTATTCACTATGAATGTCTGTTCCCAGTAAGAAGGCTGGTGCTTTAACAGTCATCTTCTGCGAGAGACAGTCATCCGTAAATTTTAATACAGGATAATAATGTCCAGCAGTCTTTTCAGCTTTTTCAGCGAGAAAAATGAGAGAAGTGGGAAAAGAAAGACATATGTACAAGAGGAACTATGCAAGTTCCTATCTTGTGTTTGCATACACAGAGACTCTGCAAAGCATTTATATTTACTGGTTTGAGATGAAGGACAGACTTTAGAATCAACCTGAAATGAGTGTAATATTCTTTACCTAGCTTCTTCCTACATGATGTAGCTGTTGGTGTTCATTTTCTTCTGAACATGCAGTATATATAAAAATAAGAACCTCAGGACCCCCTGGTTTATAGCTTGTTGTTTCCAGAACTGATGGAGTACAAGGCCTCTTCAAAGCTCATCATCAAGCACAAGGAATTAAAAACTGTCTAGTCACTGTACTAACAATCAGTCAATTTCTTCTTCTGAATAAAGGTACTCCAGCCTGCCAAAAGCCAGTCTTAAGCTTAAAAACCTTCTATTTGAAATCTCTGCATAAATGACCTTAAAAGATCCATAATGCCAACCATCCCTCTTAGTCTGTTCTGTGTGGATGGGTCAGTGTTCTCTAAGCAACCATTCCAGCTCTTCTTGAGGTGATTTCCAGTCATTTTAATAAAACCTAGAGAAGGGGGGTAGTCTTCTCTCAAACCATTATCTAGCACATCTGAAATAGTGGCATCTATGCACTTATTTATGAATTCTTCATGTAAATTAGATAGAGATTGACTTACCTGATGCACGCAGTCTAAGAACTGTAAGAAAACAGGAGCAAATCCACTACCCTGACAATTGAGAGTCAGATGACTACGTTGACTGAATTTATGACCGAAAGAGAGCCATTCTTTTTCCACCAGCATTCGGAAGCCCTCAAGTGTCCTATAGAAGGGATCACTGAGTAACTGCACCAGAGATACTACCTAGATCACAAGACAGGACATATTGTGTTAAGAATGACACAAGTTAGGAAAACACTTTAGTCAATGAATATAAATGTTCCACAATCTGTTTATAGTTCAAGGAAACAAAAGCCATATAAACTCAATTACAAGTATTTTACCCCATACATTAAGTATTTTTATAAAACAAACCAAATAATATCTCACATGAAAAAGCAATTGAGACTTTATGATATCTGAAAAGTCAAACCTGCGCAACTATAGCCTTTGGAAGTCATTATAATGCTTACCACATTTAAATTACTTCTGAAATAAAACCACTTTTATTAATAAAATAAGAATAATAAACATTTATAAAATAGTATCCGCTACCTCAGCAAAGAAAGTGTTAAAGAATTGGTCCTGAGGGTGACTTTAGAGTTTCTGCAGTGTTGCCATGCTATGGTGCTCACCAGCCAACTTCAGCCTTTTTTTGTAGAGAGCATCTCAGGAGACTTTAAAATGCAGCACAGACTTCTTTCACTTCCAGCTATGTATGTCCCCTTCTCTATTCTTCATCATTTGACAATGATTCCAATAATTATGTTAACATTCTTTTGTGGGTTTGTTTACCTGGTATCAGGATGCTGGCTGCACATGAAGTTTTTATTTAGTAGAATTATTGATATCTGTGTTTATCTACTGAATTATGAAGCAACTACATGGATACAATGCATCCATTAAATGAGGCAGTGGGTCTTCATTCACCTAATTTATAGTTTGTTTCAGAAAGTTATCTGTGGTGATCTGTCCTTGCAGCAGGTGTTACATTCACTTTGGCACAAATTTAGTTTTCTCCCTGTGTGGTATCCTAACTTCATTTATGGAAAGCAAATGGCAAGAGAAAGAATTCCTCTCCTTCCCTTCAGTGTTTAAAGCGTACTATGTTTACAAAGATAAATAAAACTTTCAGCTTTCATTTGTACATATGGTCAGGTGCAGGAATGCTGTCCTTGCAGCAGGTGTTACATTCACTTTGGCACAAATTTAGTTTTCTCCCTGTGTGGTATCCTAACTTCATTTATGGAAAGCAAATGGCAAGAGAAAGAATTCCTCTCCTTCCCTTCAGTGTTTAAAGCGTACTATGTTTACAAAGATAAATAAAACTTTCAGCTTTCATTTGTACATATGGTCAGGTGCAGGAATGGAATGAGAACTGTAAGTCCATCAGGACCTTTGGAACAAATTCATTTTAAGGAACTCTTTCATAGTGTAAATTGCAAATGAATGCAAGGATTCATGCATTCTAGTTTCTTCTCTGCTGCCACAACACAAATTTATTAATGTTATACCAAATTATCAGTCACTTGTGTAAAAAAGTATTGCCTGGTGTTTTTTCTTAATATTTAGCTATTTCAAGGTTTTAATAGCAGCTTACTTGCGCAGTAATATCCCAGCCATCTTCCAAACAAACCATAACAGAAGAACCATTTTCCAGGAGCTCAGAGATGATCACACCCAATTGCATTATCCTGTGAAGCTATAAAGTATTACAAATAAGTAACATACTCAAGTATAAGATAAATTTATAGATATTATCAATAAATAGATTTTTTTCATATTTAATATTACAATATGTATTCTGAAATATACATCTAGCACAGAGAAATGCATTGATGCAACAGATTAGAAAGCTATAAAATGTAACAGTCTCACGATTTTCATCTGAACTACAACAAAACTAAGCAAAGATTTGAAGATAGGAACTTACACCATTAAAACGAATGAGTACTGTAATAAAATAGCTGTCATAAAAAGGAGAATGGGAACAATACAGTTGACAGATTTATCGTAGTGAAATTCCATCCTGGGCTTAACACTAGAATAATTTCCTGTGAAATGTTAAGGTTCCATAAAGTCACTAAGTACTTTGATGGGAGAACGCATGTAAGATATTTACAAGATAGTATTTCTAATGCTCAATCCCATGGAAGTTGGAAATTAATGAATTTAATAATAATAATAACAATAACAATAATAATAACAATAATAATGGTGATGAAAAAAACAAACCACAAACCTAAAAACAAACACAGAAAAAAAAAAAATCCTATTTCTATAATCTGGAAAGAGTTTAGATACATTAAACAGTGTTTCTTATAGTTGGGCAGACTGGCTAAAACATATGGAAAGAGGACACGAATTATTTGCATTCTAATATTCATTATGCAGTAATAGTACAATTCCTTGAGCAGGTGGGTTAATCAATTTCTCTGGGAAGGGTTATTGACATGAATGAGATTGATTCAAATATGATAGGTATAAGCAGGTTAAAAAAATTTAGGTGAATTTGAGCAATTTTATCTTACTATGAGACTTCACATCATTATTACTAAAAGGAAAATCTATATGATGTTTCTACCATTTTTGTCATACTATGAGCATTCTTGGTAAACAACATAATAGACAATATGTAAGCAATTCATTTTTTTACAATAGAATGAAACTGCTCTTTGCAGAGCACTGAATACAATCCAACCAATAGCAGCAGTAGGAAAGATGAAAGCCTGAAAGAAGGGAGAAAGCAGTATGGAAAAACAAATAAACAAAAGACGGCAAGAAACATCTAAGATCATTTATGCAAGGAAAAAAGTAAGTTCAGAAAGTACAGAAGGCACAGGAAAGTGACTCAGGGAGAACAAATTAAATTCGAGAAAATAAGAGGAAAAAAGATCAACCAAACAACAGTTAAACCCTAGAAAATTCATCCTTGTTTAGGGCAGTCTGATTTTTTTTGTCTTAAAAAACTCCAATCCTATGAATATTACCATGGAAATTGTGATGGAAAACACTTAACTCCTATGAACATTCACATAGCCATTACTTAGAAAATAAAAGAAACTAATTTTCCTGCATTTTTTAATAGGAAAAGACTGAAGAGAGCACCACTTTTAAAACCAAGCAGTTTGTTTATTGCTCTATACTTTCTTAGGCAGTAGAATAGAAGAAAGGCTAGTTTTTGCCATCCTTAGTGAAGAAATTGATATGTAATCTGGTTATACAGATTCAATATAAAAACCCACAAAATACTATTTTTATCATTTGTATTCAGAGATAGGACAGCACTCCAAATTTCTTCTTATGTATTCACATCCTTATAAAGAAATATTTAGCCTATACAGCGTTAAAATCAATACTGTGTAACTTCTATTGCCCAGGAGAGAAAAGCTTAATACAATAAAAACAAATTTCCAAGACGACAGATCTATGTTCTTTCACAGGAATAGTAGAAAATGTGTCAAATCAGTCATAAATTAACTTTATCACATAAGTCACATACGACATGATTTAAACCACAGAAATATGGACATTATGACCTAGTCCTGAGCAAAGAGTGATACACTATTACTTTTCCGCTCAAATACGCCAAACTCCAATGTTATAATCTCCCCTTGATCTCTGTGCTGTTATAGAGACATGTTTATTTCACCAAAGTGACATTCAGTTCATTCATCTACACTTATTAACTTGCTCAACTACTCTGTGATTGAAAATGTTCACATGATGAGGGAATCGAGTCTTCATGCTCTTCCCACTTCTCCCCTTCCTGAAGAACGTGGTGGCCAGACACAGCAACGACCAGCTCCTATGCTCTCTAAGGAGGGATCACACCTCAAGGGAAGAAGTTAAGCCACTCCTTGCACTGTAGCACATTTCAACCAGGAGTACATTTTCTGATGCGTAATTACTGAAATGACTGTGTTACTCACATGTATTTCCTCCTTAAGAAATCAGCATAAGAGTCTATTCTGTTTTCTATGATTAATTGCATTTGAGAAGAATATATTCAGCAAAGGATTCCAAACATAACATGCAACTGTTAAAAAACATTCACTATAATTAAAATAGTTTTACATTTACAAAGAGCTGACTTTCCCACATCCTTCTTAATTTGAATCTTGCAAAGCTACTTCCAGTCTTTGGTTAATCTTCGTTTGGTTAATCTTTATAAAAGGGAATATGGGATAGGGAAGTAAAGGAACAGATTCAGAGAGAACAGATTAACACACACACAATCCCCTCTCCCCCGCAAACACTTGCCCATATCTCACAACAGATAATAGATGCTAGCTTATTTGTTAAATACTTGTGCATATGGAAATTCAGGGTGGGAACACATATGAAGAGTAGAATATCAGTTTTAAAATCAAAAGGCTCATTTATTGTTCTATACTTTTTTCTGATTTTTGAAATATATAAAATAAGAAAAAGCAGTTAAAACCAAGACCATATATTTACATAGGCAGAAAAGAGTCTACTTGTGTACGTGTTCCATGTTATAAAGCATAAATTATGTTATAAAAAAATGCCTCCCACATTTTCAAATGTTATGATTGTATTAAAATAATAATGCTTATGTAATGACAGAATTGACAGTATGCAAAATAATTACAATGAACAAAGAAGAACAGCTGGTTAGAACACAATAGTTCTCTGTCAGAAGAGCCTGAAATTTATTTTGTGTAAGCAGTACTGCATAGAGATTATTAGAAGTACCTGTCATATAAATTACCTGTGGGAACCACTCTGACTCCCCAAGTGCTTTAAGGAATGTTGCCTCAGAATCTGTAGGAATAGTGCTGGGAACACAAGCTCTCATCAGCTTTTTAAAGCTTGCCTTTGTCTGTCGGATGTCACTGAATTCAACAGGAACAAATTCACAATTCAAAGCAAAATCAAGTTTGAATCCCTGTATGAAAAGGACAATGGCAGATGTAACTTAAAAGGGAAGCATATTTTTCACTGACAGCCTCATCAAATCTCAAAGTCTTGCCTGCTTTATTGTTAAATATTTCAATTCCTAATTAAAAATCTGTTTAGTTAAACACCTGCCCAGGATAATAAAAATCCTTACAACACTTGCAAAATGTACCATAATAAAGTACCCATCTACTACTCATAACAACAGAAAGTACTGCATGGCAGTAATATTTTTAATAATAATTATAGTAATAATAGTATAATTAGTAAATTATAG